CAATCCAATGACTTTCTGTCTTATTTCTTTCAATGTTGTAAATCCTTGACTTTCACTGATTTTACTCAGAACAGCCAAATCTGATTATGCCTTTCTCTTCCTTAATATACTGCCTTATTGCTAGATATTTATATCCCATGGTGACTATTAAGGAATATATCTTCCATCATGGCTCCGGAAGAGTTAGATTATTTTTCAGAAAATATTTTTCAATACGACAATTTTACAACATTAATTCTCTGTAAGGAATAATACTTAAGCACTAAAATGGTAGGCATTAAGCATGTACTTGATGTTTTTAGGGCAGTTACAGGGCAAGTTAGAGGACAAGATAACCATGTACACTTCCCTATGCTGTCTGCCTTACAATCTCCTCTCCCACTCGCAAGCAAGTCCTCTTTCTTATAGCAAGTCAAATCTTCAGTATGTTATATGTAGACATTATAATTAGTTATAACATCTTGTCTATTTCTCAGAGAAGTTTGTTTTAATTTTCAAGTGACAAATATTTTCCATGAGTGAAAATTGTTTTCGTGTCTCGATTTTGGGTGGAACACACAAGACCATTTTCTATTAAAGGTGATGGACATTTAAATTATTATTATTCAGTGACTTTTTTACTTAGCAAAATTCCACTCAATGAGGGTCATTTGTACTCTCATTGCTTCAGGATAAACTCTAACCACCTTAACAGGATTTGAAAAGTACACGACCTAACCTCTGCTTCATCTGATAGTCTTGCTTACTGCATACTTTACGGTCTACTCCAGTGAAACTGCAGAAATCTTGCAGCAGCTGAGGATCTGCATTCCTTAACGTGTAAGAGTTGGCAGATAAGGCTGTCATAATTAAGTTGGTTCTCACATATGATCGAGGATTTGGGGAAACAAGACTATATATAAAATTCATGCCAAGAGGAATTTTAGAAAACATCTACTTTGAGAACCAACTGAATCCACAAATGGCTATCGTACTGCACCATCTTCTTGAAACCTTCCTGCAAAATCGAGGTGGTTCTGTGATCTAATGATTCAGAATATTTTACATTTTTTTGAGAATCCTCCACTTCACACTTTCACATCAAGATTTATAAATTTCAAATTTAAGTGAGTTGCTCTCAAACATTGATTCTACAGACTTGTACCATTCATCCTTTGCTTCCTTTCATTCCAGTAGAGTTTCTCTTATTTTACTACTTAATACATGATTTAATGCATTTGAATGGATGTGGTACTAAAGATTTCACCTACAGATCTTCTTTGATGAGATAGTTAATTAGCTGAGCTTTAATATTAACATTTCTCTAGCTACTTTGTAAACAATGATTGCCAGTGAACAAGAACGGAAGCAGAGAGACTAGCATTAATGCTAGTACAACAGTCTAAGTGGCACATGGTAGTAGCTTGCCCTGGCTTGTGGAAAGGAGACGAAGATAAAAAGCAATGAAAGTTTTCAGATAGCAATTGAAATGTGGAAGACTATGAAACAATAGGTTGGAATAGGGAGTCTAAAGCATTGAGTGACCTGTAATGACCTATTAAGTATGATTTGTCCAGTAGACACACAAGTGGGAATCTTAAGCAGTCAATGGAGAGTTTGAGAGAGAAAAAAAAAAAGGTAAATTTGGAAGTCATTTCCATACAGCCATGAGACTAGCTGAGATCCCAAAGGAAAGAGTAGCTATCTGAAAGGCTTTCATATTCAGATCAGCAAAGGGATTAAAATGAACAGAAATGCACCTGTAGTGAATCAAATATCAAAGGAAAATGGCATAGAACAGGACTCTATTCCAGCCTTCCTCCTCCTAACTTATGAAAAATTTGTATGCCACTTCAAAACATTTTTAGAATGAAATAGACCTTAAATAAATAATAAATAGTTGTTACAATATGTGTGCCTTCTTCTCATGCCAAAAAGGAAGGTAAACATTACTCTATATAGTGATCACATGATATCAGTGAGACTTTCTAGGAATGGCTTTAACCAGTGTGGCTTCCTGAAATTATTTATTACCAAGCTCAGTATCATTTCCACCAAAATACAAAGTGTGGCATGCTGTGATACGCTGAAGGAAGATAAATAAATCTTTCCCCAAAATATCCATTTTACTTGACTTAAAGTACATTTTACCATTAATTCAAGTTTTATGATTGCATAAATCTATATTCTTCAAAAGGAAATATTCTAGAATTGTACCAAGCCTTTAGACAGTAGAAACTAATTCTAAACTCATATTCTTTTGGGCCACAAGTCTTTTGAAAATCTGGCACCATAATTCTTGTTTTAGATTTGCATCAAAATCTCATGAGAACTCATTTTTAAAATTAATTTTATTGGGGCCATGGATTTAGCTCAGCAGTTTGGTGGCCTGCCTTGCAAGGGCAAGGACCCGAGTTCAATCTCCAGTACAAAAAAAAAAAAAAAGTTTAAATTAATTAATTAATTAATTAATTTTATTGGTACATTTATAGGTATACAATATAATGACATTCACCATTGGAAATTTGCACCTTTACATAATACACCTTGGAGAACTCACTTTTAAATATGCATACTCAAGCCCTTGTCTTGGAGACTCGAGTTTGGTGGTTGTGAAAACTTGCTCAAGTGACTTTGTCTCAGGGACCTAGTTAGAACTACTGCTAGATGGTAATGACCTCTGGAGCTTCCAAGGAGTGGGCATTTGGGATGAGCAAGGGTTTTCAGGGAACTTGAATGCCCTGTCTGGACCATCTGCCTGATTCTGACCCACTTTTGAAAGTCACCTGGTAAGCTGCATAAAATACAAACCAAGTTCTTTTAATTTTCTCAGTAAAATAGATAACTGTCTAATACATGCCTCACATTTCATATAAAGGAGATGGGCCTCCTTTAAGAATAATAAATGTAAGCCAAGCATGGTGGAATATGCCTGTAATCCCAGCATTCTGGAGGCTGAGGCAGGAGGATCGCTGTGAGTTCAAGACGAACCTGGGCTACATAGTGAGTTCCAGGTCAGTCTCAACTACATAGTGAGACCCTGTCTCAAACTCCCACCAAAAAAAAGAGTAATAAATGTATTTTGCATATATATGATAACCTCTATCTCAAGTCTGTTGTTCTCCAGATTTGGGCAAAATTTTCATTATACATTTACAAAAGGAACTATATAGAGTAAGTGATATTTTCATAAAACAGTCTAAGCCTCTATTCCTGAATTATCAGAATATCAATCCTTAGACTCTCCCACGTTTGATTATTTTCATATCCTATGGAAGTGTTTTGGAGAATGTAAACTTTAAACATTGACACCTCAAATTTTATACATATTTATAAAAGAAATAGCTTTATGTAATTAAAAACTACTACTAATGTACTCTGTATAATAAACTCCACCACTGAGAAGAGATCCAGGGAAAATATATGTAAAATAAATTGATAGGCTTCATTTTATTTCTGAAGAAATTTATTACTGCCAGGAGCAACTATATGCTCCTGAAATGCAGCTCACCGCTTTAGTAATCATTGCTAGCCATGCCTTCCTAATTCAAATATCTTCCCAAATCCCTTAGCTTTCATTCTGTAGTTTTGGTTTTAATGGTGCTGTGTAAACTATGTCTTTACCTGTAAGTTACTTGAAATCTTTTTGCGGGGGGGGTGGATTATTAATAACAAAATCTACCCTGGGTTCTCTCTTCCATAAACTCAATATTTATTTACTTTTACTTACTGGGAGACTATATTTAGTACAACTAGTGTGAACACTGTCTAACAAGTCATCCAAAATCTTCTGGCTTAAAAGAAAACAGACATACTCTGCGTAACACAGAGTTTTGTTTACAGAAGATTATCTTATGGTGAAAGATCATGAGTGTACTTTTAGCATCTGGAACAGAACTTTTAAATCCCTCCTCTCTCCTTCAGCATCATTGTTCCTGTTATTTAAGAACTTCCTGTGTGACAGAGCCTGGACCAGGAGCTTTGCATGCCGATGCCTTTCCAATCCTCACAGCAAAGTTTGAGTTGCCCTAGTAACATTATATTCAAGAGAAAGAATCTAAAACTTTTTTATTTAAAAGACTTTATTACATGGGCTGGGGATTTGCTTGGGGAAAAACAAGAATGAAGATATATGTAAAGGTATAAGATCCCGTTGATAAATGTAACTTTATTGTTTGCTTTAAATGGACCAATCAACTTAATGGGGAAGAAAAGAAAAGAAAATATTTTATTACAGTAAAAGACACAGAGTGAAAAATCCCTCTCAGAATACTCCTTTCACTTTGAGCACATTATCTCAGGGGCAGGGATATAGTTTAGGGGACCTTGCACCTGCCTGGCAAGCACAAGGTTCTGAGTTCAATCCCTGGCACTGGAAAAAAATAATTGCTAAGTAAACACACTTATCCCAATATTTTTGCCACTTTCTAAATCACTTCAAGAAGTCATCTTTCACAGGTGTCTTTGTTTCATTGTTGTAGCTACCACGATGTCCTGAATCAATGCAAAGCATTTACATTTCATGATCAGTGTGACTTTGGAGAAGAGCCAGAAGTCCACATGATATCAGATCCAATGAATAAAGTGAATGAAGATACACGATAATTACAAAATTACTAGTATGTAGTTGCAATTCATAATGAATATACATATTGCATTTTGATCCTCCCTACTTTGCTTCTTTTCCCATCCGCAGGTCCCCTACCCACAACTCTGGAAGGGTAAATATATTTCATTTAATCCATGTTTTTAAATAAACACTTGACTGTGCAACCAGATATCTAATGATTAGATTTAGCTGTAGGAGACTGGCAGGCAGAGGTAAGGACAAACTTCTTTAGATACGGGACACAAAGTATCTGCTGCTCTCAGGAGCTGTCTGAAGTTTTCTTTATTGCAACACAAATTAGAAAAATGCCCTTGCTCTGTCCTCTTGCAGGAGGAAGACAGCTGAGTTTAAGATATTATAGTTTCCCTCTCTTTTATCTGAACTTTGGCTTTTCCCTTTGCCTGTTACTTACTTTCAAGATCAGGTAGAACCAGGTGACTGCCCAAAACTCTTTTGGATCCAAGTGACACAGGATCATAATCAGCATTTACTCAACTGACAAACTGTCCAAGCCATGTTTCCAAAACGGAGTTCTCAGGGCACTTTTTCTTTTTCTGCAAAGAAAAAGTCAGCAATTGCTTGTTTCACATACAGCATGTACTTTAGGAATAGCCTTGAGGCTCATAAGTGAGAGATCGTGTGTCTCATATTCATTGATTATAGGACTCAAAGGTTAGTTAATAAAGGTAAGAAGCTTAATTAATAAAGATAAGAAGTTACTGTTCCAAATGTCTTCCACGGCAGCCCTGGATTAGGAATCAGGAAGTGTGGCATTTAGCCTGTTTACTCTAGTGATGTGTGACTTCAGATAATTTATTTTAGTATCCAAACCTCATCCTAGTAACTTTATAATGAGGAAATTCTTAAATTTTATCGAATATATTTTCCAACTTTGAAAGTATGAAGTTACCAATACCTCTGATTTAACATATCAAGGGAAGACAATAGTTTAAAATGATTAAGCAAAGGTAAAAAAGAGCTTTTAACAAACAAGAATAAATTTAGACATGATCTAGCCTCACATGCCTCCTCCAATCATTCATGAAGGTTTTCCTTCATTGCTATTCATTTCCCTAATGGACTTCAGAGATAGGCATCAAATACATGGAGATGAGGTCAAAATAGTCACTGCTGAATTTCCTTTAGAATCCATGCAAAAATTGTTTCCTGTTGTATCACAAACTGCATGAGGTCATTTTTTCCAAGTTACCAGATCTCAACATATTTCATTTATTTATCTAAGATTCGTAATTATAAACTGTTCACTAAAGCTGTAAAAATATAACAACATATTTTCTTACAGATCTGTGCTGACAAGTTTGGCCATCACTGGTCTGAGCCCAAGGAAATCTTTGTCTTAAGGCAAAAGAAACAGGAAGCACACAAGGAGGAGAACTAGGACATCAACTTATACCAATTATAACCTCCCCTTCTTCAAAATTAATTTTTCTGCCATTATCTGATTTTCTCAAACTTTAACCTGTATTTTACACAGTCTTTCTTACTCTAAGTTTTTTAATTACTTTTATGAAGCCATTCCTGGCTGCAATTCTTTTCTTACTCAAATATAACAATAGGCCAAGTCCCACTTTCTTCTGAGTTTTTCCAGACTTGTTAATGGCTGTCAATTTCCTACAATTGTTCTCCTATAGGATTTCCTTAGTCCCCTCCTAATGCCTTTGGCATGTACACATTTATACTGAAATTTTAAAGGTGGGGGAAAGTCATCAACACAGTCCAGAGAAGAAACTGATTCACTATGATGTCACCACGCTGAAAAGAACAGTTTAATGGACTATTTTTGTAGCATGACTTGAGACTCAGAGCTGAGCCTTTTAGTCCCTGGAAATGATTTATTTTAAATGTTGTACCCAAGGTCAGGAAGGAAACATGACATCACTGAGAAGCAGCTGCCTCTAAAGTCATCAAAAAGAGATTCAAGAAGCTCCTATGTTACAGGTGCATTAATCGGGACTGTGCAGTGGGCTAAAAGATAAAAATACTAAGACACAGGGGAAAATTCAGAAGAACTCAAAGACATAAAGCTTGGAGTTTTGTTTCTATGATCAGTCAACTTTTAACCTGTGCAACACTATTCCTGATGTGCTTTATTTTTTTTATTCTGCAAAGATAATGTGTTACCATTTTATTCTCATCTGTGAGATCAAGAACAGTCCAGTTTCTCTTTAGAGTCCAGTGTGAAAGCTCAGTTTACATAATTGGTGTTTGTCTTAGGCCACATGAGGATCACAGTAGAAAAGAAGATACACTGGGGATGAACACTTTGAAAGGCAATATTTATATTATTCATAAGGAACATTAAAGGCTGACATCTTCCCCACATCAGACTCACTCCTATAACAGGCTTCATCTGGTGCTTTATATTTATTTAGAAGCTTGAGTAGCACATCTGTCATCAAATTAATGAATACGGCTGATGATATATGTTGAAAATGATGAGTACATACATGTTCTTCAATACAGTTGCCATAAAACCTAGTGTTAATTTTAAAGTATCAGTTTCCTATTGCTGTGCCATAAAGTACCACAAATTTAGGAGCTTAAAAACAACATGAATTTATGCTGTTACTGTTCTAGAGGTCAGAAATCCACAATTCAAGTGTCAGCAAAGCTATGTTCCTTCTAGAGAATTTAGAAGAAAATCCATTACTTGATTTTTTTCAGTTTCTAAAATCTGCCTTCCTTTATGAGTCTCCTGACACATTGAATCTGTTGATTCTTTTACGATTCCCTCTGACCACTGGCCTTTTTTTATTTAAAACGCTTGTGATAACATCAAGCCCACCAGATAACTCAGGATAATTCCTCTATCTTGAAATCCTTAACCCATCTGCAGAATAACTTTACAAGATTCAGATGTATGGGGGATTAGGATATGGACATCTTGTGGGGTGGATTTTCAGCCCAGTATAGTAAGATGCATTTATCAGCAATATATTTCATAAATCTCATCTACTTAGTGGAAGATGATGACAGATAAAATTCATTTAAAACACTTATAAATAAGCCAAAGGTTCTACAAGATGACAATGTTTTACCAATGGATAATAATAGTAATTACTTAAACACATGATGGAAAACTTACTGCAAAATTAAAGCTACTCGTTGATTTAAAAAGAATGAATGGAAAAGACATGTCAAGCATAGTTAATCTGATACTGGATTAAACTGGAAATCACAGAGCTTGTAATTTCAAGATTTGAGTAGACAAACATTTGACATATAAATAAATCCAAATGAATGAATAAATAAATTATACTATATTTTTACATTGGAATATCATTTCACCATCCAAATGAATGAAATACGTGATACACCATGGATAAATCTTGAACAATCATTATGCTGAGTCAAAAAAAAATACAAAAGGTCACATATTGTATGATTCCTTTTATATTACATTTCTAGAATATATTCTGGGATATATTCTCACTATGTACCTCAGGCTGGCCTCAAGCTCATACTGATCCTCCTGCCTCTGCCTCCAGAGTGCTGGGATTACAGGTGTGCACCACCATGCCCTGCAAATGAAAAGTTGGGAAGTTTTCTAGAAAGAGGGAGAGGTGATAGCTATACAACATTGTAAATGTACTAAATACCATAGAATTTTACACTTCAAAATGCTTATTTTCACGTTATGTGAATTTCACTTGATTAATAATTTAAAGAAATTACAACACAATACTTGTAAATTATTAAGAACATGTAAAACCAGTTCTATAGGCAGTCTTAGAAAGATTAGAATATATACATAAATCCATCTTAAGAAGGTGTTTTAAAATACTGGTTCAGTTGGTCCATGTCTTGTGCTCTAATTTCAAATCACCACAAATCATTCAAGTAAATTTGGAAAATATCAAAATATATTTACACCAGAGAAATGAAGAAAAGGGCTAAAGGTGTAGGGAAAGTGGGAAAGGTATAGAAAAGGTAATAAGGGAAAGGAAAAAAATAGGAGAAAATGAAAAAATGGAAATAAAATGTGTGTAAATGGAGAGGGGAGGAGGGGGTGAAGGGAGGGCAGGGACAAGGGGAAAAAATGAGAATCAAGACCTGTCTTGTAAAAGTACAGGATCCCAGTAATGAATGTAGCTGTACTGTATACCTAAAATGTACCAATAAACTCAATGAAGGGGAAAAAAATATATATCTATCTATCTATATATATAGGGACTTCAAAATTCTATGATGCTCTTACACCTTCTTTTCTACACTGAAATACATCATTTACTTTGGGAAGCAAAAAAATTAGTAGATAATTTCTGTGACTAGCTTGCAAACAGGATAAAACAAATATAGCAAACACCCTATTTATTTGAATATATAATTTATAGACAAATGTGCATGATCACTAATAAAGAGGCAGACAGATACACGTTTATACATCCAGAGAAAAAGAAGCAGATAGAAGTAAATAAGCCTACCAGTAATTATATCTCAGTGAGATTATAGTTTTTGTTGCTACTTTTATCTTCTAACTTTTTGTGAAAGAACATCTATCATTTGTAAAAATGTGCATAATCTGATGAGTTTTTCTCAATATTTCAATGCTGAAGTATGTCTAACCCTGTAGTAATTAAGAGTTCACAGGGCTGGGGATTTAGCTCAGTGGTTCCGTCCCCTGCCTTACAAGCACAAGGACCCAAGTTTGATCCCCGGTACCAAAAAAAAAGAGTTCACAGTAATCTGAATAGCTAATTACAATTTCAGGAATAATAATAGGATTCATTTTAAAAATTAAGCGAATGGGGAAAAATAAGAACCAAGATATATCATGTAAAGCTGCAAATTCCCAATGATGAATGCCATCAGATTGTATACCTAAAGTGTACCATAAACAATATATTTTTTAAATTAGTGTAAAGGTGAAAGCATAAATATCTCACGGTTTTTCTTATATGAGAACCTCAAAATATAAATAAAGATCAAAATAAAAGATAGATAATGAGAAGTAGGGAAATAGATCTTTTCAAATGGGAAGGGGATCAAGAGATGAAAGAAAGAATATAGGGGGGAAAGAAAAGGTTATGAAGAAAGAACTGAGACGTGCTATGCACTTGTACCAACTCCTCACGAGGGACGTAATCATCATATAATGCGAACATGTGCTCATCAAAATAAAAACAAAAAATGTCTAAAAATCATGAAATGTCCCATTATTTGACCCTAGAGAAATAATTGAACAAAAGCAAAAAGTTATGTACAAGGAAGTATTAATGGCAATACAAATAACATTTACTCATTGGAAATTACCTTCAAATCCATAGGGAGATGGTTTAGTTTTTAAAAATCTATATCTGTAAAAATTAAAATTAGAATCTCATAATTTTTGCAGATTTAAAGAATTTTCACTATACATTATTTAAGGAAAAACACAACTATTGTAGTAAGTACACACTGTAATTTTACTTCAGACACCGCAGCCTGCCTTTCTTTTCTTCAGACACATGGCATTTCCTCCCAACACATAGTCGGAGGCCCAAGACCTTCTTCAGTGCCCCTTTGTGTGATTAG